AGCTTGTCGGCATCCTTGGTGAAGTCCTTCTCGGGCTTCAGCAGGCCGCCGGACATGATGACGAATGAAGCTGGGGGGCAGGTGGGTCAATTTAGAAGATTAATAGGTTGAGTTGGTAGGAAATGTCTTTGAGCACGTTTGTTGCGCTTGGCAACGTGAGATTCGTGGAATGGAAGAGGATGAGGAGATGATGCTTGTAGCTCTGGTGTTGCGCGCCCTTACGAGCTGGAAGCTCCGTCCCACGTGACCGAAACATCACTTTGTCTTCCTAGGCCTTCCGCTCCGTACTTCCAGTTGTCCTCTTGTCTAGCAATTTGGAATATTTCCAGCAAGCTTGATTTAGTCTGTTCAGGATAGCTGGCCATTTAAACCAGAGCCAACAATCTATATATTTCATCTGGTCCATGTTTTCTGTTCACAAAGTTGGACATGCCATGAAGACCAATATAAGAGGCTCTAAACCAGATTTTTCGACACCATATGACTAGCCTACAGGATAAATGATCTCGACAATATAAATCATATAAATCTACATTGAAAGCCTGGCTGAAGCGGTACATGATTGTGCGTGGCCTTTGGATCCTCAGATCGTGGTGTTTTCGGAAGTCTCTGCTTTCCACCCAGGCCATACCAATGTAGTTAGGATTAGTACGAAATCTAGCATATCCTGAACTATAAAATATCTATCTCCAGGCTACCTATGTAGGTACCTAGGTAGGCAAGCACATGCTTGAATAAGCTATGCATAGATCATTTGAAAGTACGAGCGACTGAAGAGCGATTGGATTAAACAATAATGACGAGAGCAGGAGAGCGATTCAGAGAGAAATATGTGCGAAACTCGTCGAGGGAGAGGGAGCATTCGGTTCTGGACATCCTTGTCAAAGCGCCGTCTCAAACAATTTGCCGTGCGTAATGGGCAAGTGAGATGGGTAGGTTCAGGAATGCTGCACCCTCCTCCATGCGGGGATTGCTGTTCATATCAAGTTGTCATAGATCGATTGTTGCTGCGACATGGCTGGCACTGCGCTGATATCGCTGTGCCCACAAAGCAAAAGTTCGCGCATATTCTTTTCAAAAAGTGGGCAAGAAGGGGGTTGACTCGTTGTATCCGACTTGAAGCAAAGTGTAAGGATATTCGGACCACAGAGGTTCACAGCATGTCGGGCTCCTTCCGACTGTAGACATCCTGTGCGAGGGTAACCATGCCGCAGATTGTATTTTGGCTATACGCTTCACGGCTGTAGTCGGGAGCCATTGAGATCAATAGTCACTCACCGTAGGTAAAGATGGCTCGGTCAAGTCCCCCATCCCTTAGAGCCACGCCAAGGCACAATTGCGTAGCATTGTGGGCGGATTGATAGAAAAATTGTCAGTAAGGGAGTTTCAGGGTGCCGGTGATTTGTTGAACGAGAAGGCCCTTCTCTTATACCCATGGGGAATCCTCGCCCAGACCAATCTGAGGGGTTCATGTTGGGGATATGGATAATTTTCAAGGTCGGTTCCAGCAAGCAATGAGGCAATTGGTGGGAGCGGCCGTGGACGGCTAGTTAGTTAACATGTACATCGCCGACTTTAAGAGCATCGGGGACAGGAAACTGGCGAGCAGGAGACTGCGGCATGCCAGCAGATGTAAAGCTTCGAGCTGAATTACCATTCAGGGGCTGCCAAGGAGGGGCAAACCGGTGAGCAATAGGATGTGGCATGCCAGTAGCGTTAAAGCTTCCAACGGGATTGCCATTCGAACTCCGCCAAGGCGGGACCGTAGCAGGAGGTTGTTGGAAGGTGCCAGCAGAGGTAAAGCTTCCACTATTTGCTTTTGTATGTGTCGTACACTGTGGATGAAAAGCTTGGCTAGGAACCTAAATAATTTGAGACGAGTAAGGGCAACTGTTGTTGTGGTATATGGCCCTTAAGTAACGGTGAGGGAGAGGGTCTCTTTCGGGTCATGTCTGTTCAAATCTCTGCGATTGTTCAATAACGATGGATTGGAGTCGGCAATGACAAGGAGACCAGGATAATTGGCTTGGCCAAGTTGCATAGGGCTTTGGATAGTGAAATGGACGCGCACAGCAGTTGAAACATTTGCTGTCGAGACTTGGATGGGAGCATATCTTGGTTCGTTTCTTCATTCATTTCCGTCAACTGCAGCGACAGAGGACACGAATGAAGCAAGGTAGCGAGTGAAACCGTTGGACTTGAAGAGCCTAACATGATAACTGACAGTGGGAGAGGAAACGAAAATAGTGAAGTGTTGTGGTTGTCCTTCGAGCTTGGGAAGGAACGTTGAAGGGAAGGAACGTTGAAGGGTCGTAGAAGGAGCGCTGGAGAGAAGAGTAAGAAGATTAAATGTTATACATACATAGAAAGGGATCTAACGTCCCCAATATTATTTTGAGCCAAATAGATAGTCAAAGACCACGCACAACTTCTTACTTGCACACTCCCACTAAACTACTTTAGGTACATCTGCACTTCCCCGGCATTTAGAGTCACGTGATAATAAGCACGCAATTGCCTTTAGCCGTTTTAGGCGATAAAGATCTATAGAAAATTTTGGAAAGAGTCGTATGTCTGCTATATCTGCTATATATGAGTCAATGGTATAAGATCGACCTTAAGGACCTTTCCTGCCTCTTGATTATCCTCAAAATCAAACCTCAGGGCTTCCTATCAATTGTGCCCAGGATCCCCCACTTCGATATCCTTATCGCCCGTTATCACCAATCGTGACAGGCCTTTTACTCACTCTTGATATTTGCCGCTTTCTCCGCGGAAGTCTAGAAAGTCACTTCATTGGGTGCTCTGTTCGTTAAATACAAGCTTCAATTCTCTTGAACCCTTAGGACTTCAGAGCCTTCCGCAATTTGGTCTCCTTTACCTCTCTGAAACCGGCATATCTCTTACTGATAAAGTCATTGGCGGGGCTTGACATTTTGTTCTACTATACTTCACTATGAAGGACGCCTCATGCGATCCAAGTCCACTCGCGCCATTGATGGCTGCGTGGAATACCGAAGCACAAGTCCACTTGATTGTCGGTTCAAGTCCTCTTGCCGCCGCTCGATGTGCGAGGAGCCTCGAGGTCGGCGCCACGCCGATCATCATTGCACCGGAGACCGATGACATGCATTTCACTCTATCTGAATACATTGCCAATGGCTCTGCCCAGTGGATTCGTCATGAGTTCCAAGACAAGGACTTGACAACCCTGGGTAGAGAAGAAGTCGATCACATTGTTGACTTGGTCTTTGTCACTTTGGGTGGCAACAACTCACTAAGTATGACCTGCTTATACAATTCTCAGGCCACTCTTCTCACATTTACTACTAGGTCCACACATATCGAAGCTCTGCCGGCGCCTCAGAATCCCAGTGAATGTATCAGATGCCCCCGAACTATGCTCCTTCACCCTACTTTCCACCTACTCAGACGGCCCCCTTCACATTGGGATCACTACTTCCGGCCGGGGGTGCAAACTTGCATCCCGGCTGCGGAGAGAGATTGCTGCTTTCCTACCACAAAACCTTGGAACGGCCATCGACAGACTCGGTGCTGTGCGGAGGCGCCTGTGGGAAGAGGACAATGCTGCTGGGTTAGTAGAAGGCATATTTGACAGAGAGGACGACGATAGTACAGGACAAAAGTACACCTTCAACAACTTGGTCACGGAAGGCGATGCTGCCGCCGCGAAGACAAGAAGGGTGCGTTGGTTGTCTCAAATATGTGAATACTGGCCTCTTCGAAAGCTCGTGTCTATCACCGATGCCGATATGGATGCCATCCTGAAGGCCTATACATCTGGAAACGACACCATAAATGGCACAAACGGTCTCGAAGCCCCCTCAAAGAAGGGGAAGATCGTCCTCGCAGGCTCTGGTCCCGGTCACCCAGACCTACTCACCCGCGCCACCTACAATGCAATCCACAATGCCGACATCATCCTCGCAGACAAGCTCGTCCCCGCTCCAGTACTGGACTTGATCCCTCGCCGAACGGAAGTCCACATCGCACGCAAGTTTCCTGGCAACGCAGACCAAGCGCAGGAAGAATTCCTCGTGATGGGTCTAGCAGCTTTAAAGCAGGGACGGCAAGTCCTGCGCTTGAAACAAGGAGACCCATATCTATATGGACGTGGGGCGGAAGAGTTCGAGTTTTTCAGGAAGGAGGGCTATTCTCCGGTCGTCTTGCCAGGTGTCACCAGCGCTATGAGTGCTTCCCTCTTCGCCGATATCCCAGCAACCCACCGCGGCGTCTCCGACCAGGTCCTCGTATGCACAGGAACCGGCCGAAAGGGAGCTGCTCCAAACCCCCCCACCTATGTACCGACACAGACTGTGGTCTTTCTCATGGCTCTTCACCGACTTTCTGTTCTTGTGGAATCCCTCACTACCTTCCCCGCGGGAGACACTGATTCGCAGTCGCGCACACCCTGGCCTAAAGAGACACCCTGTGCGATTGTTGAGCGGGCATCGTGTCCAGATCAGCGTGTCATTCGCTCGACCTTGGAGCACGTCTGCTTGGCCTTTGAAGAGGCAGGGTCGCGACCACCGGGGTTGCTGGTCGTTGGTGCCAGTTGCCACGTGCTGCACAATCCCCAGGGCCAGCGATGGGTGATTGAAGAAGGTTTCCATGGACTGGATGAAGTCCGCAGCGAAGTGGATACGGTCGCTGCGTCAGTGGACGAGAACCAGTGATTCAACTTTTTCTTTTTATATATATTTTCCCGAGCGATGGTTGCAAATCGTGGTGCGCAATGTACATAGACAGCATTCAGATACCCCTAGAAATGAAATATGCATGATCATAGAAGAATATCATTATTCGGAAAGAAAATTAGTATTTTGAAACACGTGTAGAACATTGCTATGTCGTATGTATACGATGTACACCAACACGGAGAAGGTGCGGCTATAAATTAGTGGAACCCCGGCCCAGCCATGTTGATCACTCCACCTCATTCACATCTTCAATTCTGACAACCACCCTCCACTACAACCATGTCTGCCAGAACCCCAAAGCCAGTCTATTTCTCCAACGGGGAGGCTCTTCAGAGGTGATTTTCCCTTTCCTGCAATAACTAGAGGCCCGAATCGCTGACCAGCGCGCCCATAGCCCCCCATTCATCGTGCGACTCACCCGCTTCATCGAGAGCATTTACTTCTTCTTCGGCCTGTACTTCACTACCCTCTTATCAGTACGTATCTCTTACAAGCACTATTATATGTGACATCCTATTTTCATTTGCTCCTCCCTTCAGCCTGCCGCTCTTTCATATTCCGCGACTGGATCAATCTAACCTATCTCAGCTCGACTCGTACGCTGCCGCCGAGAACTCCTCTTTCAACATCAACAACCAGAGCAACAGATATACTACTCGCTCTCGCTGGGGAGGCAGCAAAACCTCGTTCGGTGGAGGTGGTGGAGGAGGAGGAGGAGGAGGAGGAGGAGGAGGAGGTGGTGGTGGTGGCGGTGGTCCGGGATTTGGTCCGCGGCGCGTGGGCCGTGTGGATGATGTCCGTGGGCCGGAGTGCAAGAGCTGTCAATAAGCGAACAGAGAAAGCGACTGAGTTGCTCCTCAAATGCAACCTCCAAGGAGAAAAAAGGTTAGTGGACCAAGATGTTGGGTTAGGGTGCTTCGGTTTATCGCTTCGGGCCAGGGGAGCTCGTCATATGAGATGCATCCTGCAATGCACTTTTGATATTCAACGGAACCTATACTAGTACTTTGCTACAACAACCTTCGAACTATAGATTACCAAGGTTGATACTCATTCATTGAACTTGATATAGCTAGAATTTACCGAAAGTGCTAGCCCAAGACGCACACACTAGTGCCTTAGCGCCACAACACCGCCTCTTCAAGGTCACATCGTGTCAATATGAATCACGGGTCGTCATGATGATCCTAGAAGCGCCACGTGACATCCCCTCTTCCCCTCTATGCCAAGTGTAGTAGGAAATTTCAACAAATTTCCCGGAAGTAATCCCTAAAACCACTCCGGCGGCGTGCTTCCAATCCCAAGGCACACTACACAAACCGCCCAGCATGAGTGAAATCCCAGCGACAAACGCCGAATGGGCGGACAAGATAGCCAACATGAAGAAGCAACTACCGAGGCGTTCCCTGACCCAGCGACCAATTCCAACACAAATCCACCGTACAATTGACCACACACTCCTTGCGACCCCAGTCGATGCCTCACTGATCGACAAGCTGTGCAAAGAAGCCCTTGAATGGGACTTCGCCGCCGTATGCATTCGACTGGAGCACGTCCCCCGGGCAGTGGCCCACCTCAAAGGCAGCACCACAGCGGTTGCATGCGTGGTCGGGTTCCCGGAGGGCACGCACGAAACATCCGAGAAAGTGCGCAAGGCCAAAGAGGCCGTTGAACAGGGCGCCACTGAACTCGACATGGTGATCCAGTACGACCTGCTGAAAGAGGGCCGGTACAAGGAGGTGTTCGATGACGTTCTTGCGGTGCGCCACGCAGCGCAGCGGCCAATTGTCCTCAAGGCGATTTTAGAGGCGTCTGTGCTTGATGAAAACCAGCTCATCGATGCGACGATCGTGTCGTGCATGGCTGGCGCAGACTACATCAAAACTAGTACCGGCTGGAATGGCGGCGCGAGTACTCAGCATGTTCAGTTGATGAACTTCGCGGCCCAATTGTGTGGGTGCACTTGCTTGATCAAGGCTAGTGGCGGTATACGCAATGCGGAGGAGCTGTTGCGCATGCTTAAGGCTGGAGCGAATCGCATTGGAACTAGTTCTGGGGTTAAGATTATGAAAGAAATCGATGAGGGAGAGGTTCTTGAACAGGGATGCGGTCATGCGGTGTCTTGAGCTTTCTGAGATTCCCCGGAATATAACTTGTCTTGTGGTGTGTTGTTGGACGTTAGAGGTGGAGTTCATAGTGGAAATGAAGACCTTGGGAGATATTAGGTTCTTTTTTTTCAAATGTTCTGCAGTGCTCTCTACTACTATGAAAACAATGAGCATCGATCAAACCCTTACTCTTTTGCTCGGGACCAATATATCTGTGCGTGGTAGTTGTATAGAGATCGAACCCCAGCGCATAGACGCGAGCAGCGGGATAAGAACCCGGCTGATATACGCCAAGGAAGGATTGAGACCTTGCTAAATCAGAATTGCCATGGAGATATGCCCTCGGTGAACGGGAGGAGGGAAGCTAAAATAATTGTACCCACCTTGCGCATCTTGGCATGAGAGCCCTGCATTACCCCTTCGGGGTTGCCTCGCGAACACCCTGGTCCACCAGGAAAATGAGACCATCCCCTCCAAGACATATATTTACCTCATTTTGTAGATGCCGAGACCCCTGTTTCTAGAGTCAGAAGATTATTGAAACAGTAGAGCTCGTAAGAGCTAAACATAGGCCTGAGCTGCCGTCCAATGAAAACAACACCCTTAGGGCTACTGGCTCGCCCATTCAAAGACATAGATGAGAACCGTCTCAAGAATCGAGAAAAACACTTGGGAACTTGAATTGGGCTCATATGTATAGCCATAAGAACGTGGCGGACATTTTATTATTGACCTGAAAGCTCCAAAATGATATAGTATGTACAACGTTGTACTAATCCAAAAACCTGCGCCGATCCATTGACATGCGAACCAAAAACCGAAAGCGTTTTTTTATTCATGGTTCTGATCATCCGAGTCACTGGTGACAGCATCATCGATGTCCATCTTCTGAATGACTGCATCACCATTGCGACCCTTCTTCTCTGCAGCGAGCCAAGCTTCCCGTTTCTTTGTCTCATGTTCCTGCTTCCTTGCTTGCCGCAGGACCTTCTCCTGCTGTGCGGCCTCCTGCTTCTCATGTAACTCGTTGATGTAATCCTGTAGATTGGCGAGATCCGAGCGTAGATGTATAACCTCATCGTCTGCATTACGGCGAGCAGTCTCATTCACCGCAACCTTCTTCTTGAGCACAGACACCTCATTTTCTAGCTCGGCGACCTGTGAATCGCGGGCAGCTGTGTTCTCCAGGGTTTCCCTGGCGGGCGCGGTGCTTGGCGCAACAAGGGTGACTTCCGCATTGCCAGGCTGGCGGAATGCCGCTAGCTCTGCAAGACCATCTTCGATCATGGAGGTGGGGAAAGAGGAGTGAGTAAGCGCCTGAGAGAATTGTGTTGGTTTGCGGGAGTCGGATGGTGCGATGATCTGCGTGTGGAACATGTATTCTGCGGGGACGGCGCCAGGGGCATGGTTCGGGGCGGAAAGGCCACTATCATGGCGCGGCTTGACGATGGTATGGGCTTTTCTCTTCAAAACCGAGGAAGGATGAGGGATGCCACCCGGAGGGAGCATTACCAAGTTGGTGATCGGGTGCGTGTAGTCGGCAACTGACGATGTGTACTTTCGTCGCGCGATATTCCAGGACAGGACCTTGCCATTCGCGTGGCCAGAGAGCAACGTGGTACCATCATATGTAAGGGAGATTGTCTTCGCTGAGCCTGTTTCAGCCGAGGGAGGGAACCACCGGTCATCCATGGACACCTGCGCGGGTGTTGATTGTACTGAAGGATCGTGAAGAGGATGCTGCGCAGACTGGCTTCGATAGAAGTCTACTGATTGCACACTGCCATCTTCATATCCCACGTAAAAAGCCCGGTCGACGGGGTCTAGACACACAGATGTTGCGGATAAAGGAAGAAGGAAGGTTCTCAGAGCACGGCCAGTATGATAGTCCCATGCGATCGCAGTGTTGTCCTTTGCGGTTGATACGACAATGTTATGGCGGCCATTGCTATGTCCTACAGCAAGAGAGGTGATAGCTGCGCGGTGGTTGGAGAAAGTTCGGATAGGTGAGTTCGTGGGTTGGCGAGTCGCGCTAAGAGCGGGTTTCGAGAACGAGAGAATGCCAGGCAAGGACCAGACATGTATACTGGCATCAGCGGAGCCTGACAGGATAAAGTTGGACGTGGGGTCGACTACGAGTGAGGTCACCGGTTGCAAATGGGAGGCTGTTGTGGCTACTTGGCGTCCTGTGCATGTCTTGAAAAAGCTGTTAGATGCATGATGTGGGGAAATGTATCGATCAGATCCGACATACCTCCCAAACAATTAATCGACCACCCTCGGTGCCCAGAACCAAGACATCACCATACTTGCCGCCCGCGACAGCAATGCTGCGTATCCGCTCTGGAAATGGAACAACGCCTTCTTGGTTACCCTTCTCCCGGTTGTACACGTGAAGGACAGCCTTGTCTGCTTGGGCTGTGAAAATATGCGAGGGGCTGACAGCCAGACAATTCGTCGAAGTTGAGCTCTTCTTGAAAGTCGATTGCAGTATGGACGAAGGCTGCAATTCTTGGACGCAGACCCCAACATCTCTGAGAGAGGCTGTCGGAGATTTGGCGGATGACAGCGTCGACGCCACAAATGATTCGGAAAGCATCAGGAATTGAAGAATGAGGCTGTCATACGAAGTATGGGAGGTTGGTTTCGAAAGTAGCCCATGCCGAGCTTTTTTTTTCTTAATCGATTGATAACGAGATGTTTGCACTGTTTGGAATATAATCGCCGACCTCCAGAACTGCCGACATCCACGGGGCGTGTGTGATCTATCTGAACAAATTTGGCTTTTTAACTAATGCAACCTACTACGGATATCCCCGATCTTTCTTCATTAATAGACAGACCGATTGTTTCCAATGCATCTATCAAATGATTGTGCCGTGTTTTTAATTAGACCCCGCTGGGAGTTCGATCTATCATTCTTAGTCAGCGACATCTGGGCCAACCCAACCGGGCTCAGCAAGTATGAGGGATCATCTTGCGCCATTCTATCAATCGCAATGATTTCTGTTTACCGAGTCAAATTGGGTGGCCAGGACGATCAGTCTAAGCCCTCATCAGGCATTTATATCCAAACCTCCATAAATTATGCTGATATATACAATAACCTCGCTATGAACCAGATGCATGCAAGGGACAGTCCAAAGTTGGCAAGAAGGGGTGGATTGCTGTTGCGACGAGACACAAGATCCAATGAAGACCCGCTTTAATACACCCTCTGGCTGATCCTGTTGCCCTGATCAAGGGCCTGATTCGCCATGGCGCCCTTCTCCCCCTTCTTGGATCCCAATGTCTCATTCCAAGTACCAGTCGTTACCTAGCTATGACGAGTTGAGGCAACGGATGGGTCTCTCCACGTTGACGGGCTCCTGCAGGACGAAAAGATTGAGATCTGGAGCCAATTGTTGCCCATCGTTGTCCCGGTTTCTCATCTTCTTTGGAATGCAAGGACGGCGCGACCTCATTCCCACTATTATTACATTGGCCCGTGCCTAGCACAACCTGACTCCAAGTGAAGTCTTCGTGCCAGGCGACGGACCCTCTTTTCACACTCGAAGGGGGAATCGTCCCGTCGAACATTTTCCGACTTTCATGGCAGGGTTGTAGTCTTGTCAAGGGATGTGCACTTGAGCCTGATGACCATACCCAACTTAAATTAGCTGAGCCACAGTCGCTGTATAAGGACATATCGAGCCCCTGCAGGGACTGAGGTCCGTTTGTTTTGACTTTAAACTTCGACAATAAACAATCTGGATTGCAATCTCATCTGGGTTACTCTTGTGCAACACGCTTTGCTTTTTCTCTTCGACATTTCAGACCAGGATTCTTACTTTCAGCCGCGAATACCATTGTCCGATATGGACTCCGGTGCGACAGACATACCTAGCCATGCATATTTTCCGGCCCGGATCCAAACACATATAAAAAACCAGGGCTCAAACTCGTCTTCGATGAGCCACGATGTGATGGCGATGGCTGAGCCTATCCCATCACCGCGTCGATGGTCTCCCACCTATGTACCCAGAAGGCGAAGTAGACAGATGCCCTCACTATCATTTGTACCCTCACCAGTGATGCCGCGCATAGAGTCGCATGACTTTTCGACCTCAGTACCACGGCGCCCCACAGATCGGGGCCCAGCTTGCATGTCGCCCTTCCGCTCGGTTCGAAGAATGAAAGAACCATTTCAATTAATGCTTCCGTCATCCCCGGTTTCCCTCGATGGCCCTTCCCCCAACTTTCCTGAAAAGCCAAGCAGGCCGTCGAAAGCGCTGGCCGATCACACATTACGAACATGGCGCTCAGACCAAAATTTGACTTGTGGCAGCTTGGAGGCATTCGGCCTTCTACCCAGCCCGCCTATATCAGAATCACGGCCCGCAAGCACAGGTCCTGAGTTATCTTACTTTGATTCACATTCCTCGGAGGGATCAGGTCGATCAAGTGATGGGAAGGATGAGAAGGATAAGTCTGGTACTACTCAACCAGAAGGTTCCAGAACGGCCGCAACACATGAAACCGGGGAAAGAATACAATACACAGCCTACCGTCCCCCGGATTGGAAGAATCAACCGCGAACAGATGTCATGAATGTTCACGAAGCCCACTCGGAGTTCGTACGCCAGTGCGAGTCTGGCAATGAACAGGAATCACAACCTCAATCTCCGAAGAAGCCTGCATCTTCTCAACCATCTCCGAAGCCAGAGTATAGCGAGAGAGTCCTCGTTCCTGGCAGCTCCCCTAGACCCCGACGTCCTCGGACTGAAACAGTCTCTAGTGAAGCTAGCTGGGTGCCTAGTAACTTCTCATACTGTGAAAGATGGCTTCAAGGTGTCCCTGTTGACAAGGTGGATGACCGAAAAGCATCAACGAAGGAATTCACCAATCGGCGGAAATTCCAGATAGTTGAGAATGATCCTCCAATGCCAAAACTGGACATCATCCCGGGAGCAAAAGCTCTCGAAGAACCTGTGGTAAGCCGAGCAATTATTTATTATGCGATACCGTTGAAAGAAAGCTAACCCCAATATAGAGATTCGCGGTCGCTAGCAAGACAAAACCGAAACTTGTCGATATCGCTCGACAATCATCACCATCGCCCCCACTGCTTCCACCGCCATGCTTGCTGCCAAACACCGTACCAACTACCCCAGATCAACGTCAAGAGGAAGTATCCGCATTTAGCCCGGACACTCCGCTTGATATGTCTGATAGTGGTTACGGAACTCGCGACTCAGGCTATTCCTTTGATAGCTATGATGATAGCAAAGTCGATGATGACGACGATGCATATACCGACCCGGGTTCATTGACCTCTTCGGACAGTGTCGGATCGACCGTGATATGCGAGAAGCCTGAATCCGCGCAGGGAGAGCGCGTGACAAGGCCACAACCTGAAATCAGATCGGGCAGTGTGAGCCCAAAGGCATCATCCCCATCAACAACTCACTCACCGGGCCGAACGTCTATCATGTCCGAAAAAGAGGATGAAAGGCCACGGATCTTGCACCATGACTGGACGCTGGATGATCATGAATGGACCCTAGATGAACTCGACCACTCCGTCAAGGATTTTCCTCGCCATATGCTCCGCCTCGCATCCCCTGTCATGGTATTCCTTCGCAAGAACGACGAGAAGGCCCTCATTAGGCCTTTCCGCACTATATTTCCCAATGTCACGGAGAACCTACTCGACGGTCTCTGTGCTGCGCTCCTCGCTCGAAACTACCTCCAATCTCTATCAACCACATACCGAACCAAGTCGCCCATCTCTCCGCGCAAAGATGCGTATGCTATCGACGGTGTCCCGAGAAAAGCATTCAACACGCTAGGGATCCAGCTTCCATCTGGCTCTGCTAGCAAGCCCAAGGACACCCTTTTCAGCTCTCGCAGCACGGAGCTCCAGGCACACCTCGAACGAATTGTGGACAACCTCCTATTCGCCGTCTGCGGCCGATCTGATCCTACTTTGAAATCGGCCGTTGAAGTTCTTGTCCAAGTGCTCGAAAGCAATGCTTAGCATTGATCACTCCTTGCATCCAACATTTCCTTGCCTTTATTAATCCTATTCTTTCGCCATACCTGACTGAAGTCTATCCTTTGCTCCAATCTCTCCTTTTTCTTGAAATCTTTCCTGCACTCTCTTCTCCAAAATTCTTTCTTACCGTCTATCCTTGTTATCTCCTTTCATATCTGTCTGCCTTCCTACCATTACTCGCTCTAATCGTTGAGTTCTCTTTTCCTACTTGTTCGTCCACGCTCTCTTTCCAGCTGGCTACTCTTTTTCTCCTACCTGTCTCTGTCTGCCCTTTCTGCTCACTTTTGCTTTCTTTTCATACCCTTGCATCGCGCGGTCTTTGGAATTTTGGTTGGTAAATTTAGTGCGTTTGGTATCAAGCATCTATAGTTAGTGTCTCATTAGCATAGCAACCATAATAATAATGGCATAATAAACCAGTATTCATAGTCCCTGGTCATAGAAGACTTGCCTGTCCTTAGGCTTTCGAGCGCCTTTTCGTCTTTCTACCTATAGAATTGAGAAGGGCAAAAGCCACGCAACTGTCAAGCAAAGAGGTACCATCAGCAGTAGACCGTCCTCGTATCATTTCTAAGCATTATTCCTACTTTGAAATTTATTGCCTTATTGCCCATGAATGTAAATCGTGGACATACTTTCCCGCCCGATCATGCCGCGAAAACTGATTAGTCATACTTTTCCGCGGGATCCAGTGCCCAGACAAACTCCAGTTCGGCTTTCGATTTCACATAGCATATACTCATACATCATGGCAGCTCCAGCAAGAAGTCTGCGACGCTTGTCGTCTTTCAGAACCACCATATCCCCAGCCTCCACAGTAATTGCTCCCATCGGCCGCCGAAGCTATGCCACAACGGACTCCTCATCCGCCACGAACACACCAGGAACCACCCGGCGGAGAGCAACAAAGTTCCAGGATAAGCTGAATGCAGGACCCTCATTCTCAGACTTTGTCTCAGGAGGTCAAGAAGAACCTCTCGACCCCTCCGAAGCCTACGCACTTAAGACCGCGCTTGTCGGGCCCGCCGGCCGCAAGAAGGAAATGACTCGTTTGCCCGAATGGCTGAAGACTCCCATCCCAGACTCAAAGAACTACCAGCGCCTAAAGAAGGACCTGAGAGGATTGAACCTACACACCGTCTGTGAGGAGGCCCGATGCCCCAACATCTCCGACTGCTGGGGCGGCAGCGACAAGTCCTCCGCTACAGCCACAATCATGTTGATGGGCGATACCTGCACGCGGGGGTGCCGCTTCTGCAGCGTCAAGACGTCCCGCGCCCCTCCCCCGCTCGACCCGCACGAACCCGAGAACACCGCCGAGGCCATCTCCCGCTGGAGCTTAGGGTACGTGGTGCTGACGAGTGTGGACCGCGACGATCTGGTGGACGGCGGCGCGCGCCACTTCGCCGAGACGGTTATCAAAATCAAGCAGAAGAAGCCGAGTATGCTGGTGGAGTGTTTGACCGGTGACTTCCGCGGTGATACGGAGATGGCGGCATTGGTTGCGCGGTCTGGACTGGACGTTTATGCGCACAATGTTGAGACTGTCGAGGAGCTTACGCCCTTTGTCCGTGATCGCCGCGCCACGTTCCAGCAGTCTATTCGTGTGCTTGATGCTGCGAAGAAAGCTGTCCCGGAACTTGTTACGAAGACTTCGCTCATGCTTGGTCTCGGCGAGACGGATGACCAGCTCTGGGATGCTCTGCGCCAGCTCCGCGCTGTCAACGTCGATGTAGTGACATTCGGTCAATACATGCGCCCTACGAAGCGCCACATGGCTGTTCATGAATACGTGACCCCTGATCGCTTCGAGCTGTGGCGCCAGCGTGCCCTTGATATGGGCTTCTTGTACTGTGCCTCGGGCCCCTTGGTGCGAAGCAGTTACAAAGCTGGCGAGGCCTTCATTGAGAACGTTCTCAAGAAACGTCGAGCTGGTTCTGGCACGGCTGAGCGCGGTGTCGATCAGAGCGCTGCTACCACTGACGAGGCTACCCGGTGAGGTGTCTTGCATTTGAACAAAAATCCGATTCAAAATATCTAAATAAACCTGTTTTCTTTTCTTCTGACTACATGCACATGTCACCCACCCTCTTGGCGCTATCTTTCTTGCATCTTTTTGGGTTTTCGGTTTTGGGGGTTTCATAAAGGGGATTTTCGCTGGTTTTGTCATTTCAACAGTCCAACATCTCAACACAGGAATTGTACATTGTATCACCATTGGAGAAGTCATTCGTGTCCTATTTCTGTCTGTTCCTAATTTCAAGCTTCACTAGAAATCAACTCAGTGCTGCTTTTCTTATATCAAATCTCAAAATGCCATAGACCATGGTCTGAGCCTGGTTTGGGCCTGGTCTGAGCCTGCTCCGTTCCTCAATCCACTACATCCCGCCTCAATGCGCAAAGAACCCGTCGCAAGTATCAACAGGGACAAAAGCCACACGCTATACAATGGTTCCATACTCCGTACTACGTCCCATCCGCCACACCGGCCGACTCTGCTAAAGGTAAAGACCGATATAAACTCCACAACTCTTCAACACAAGGAAACTCCAAGTCAAACCCCGCCACCGGCTGTGGGCGCCGTTTCAGGCTAGACTTTTTGAGGGGTATAATTATCCAAAAAAAAAAAAAAAAAAGGGCG